AAGGTTGACTGAGCAGCCCCACATATCTCCTTTGTATTCTTATCAGCTGGACAAACAGGAGGAATGCACCCTTTGAACATGCAAGACGGTCTGCCGAGAAGCAGCCAAAGAATGTCCCCCGGTTATCTTTGGTTTATCTCCTCTTTCAGAAGTCTTCCAAGGAAGCTTCGCCCACCACGGTGACCGTTCCTTAGAGATTTGAAGCCACTGGGGGAGGGGCAGATTCTCCCAGGCTTTGAACTGAACTGCTGCATTCAGAACAAAAAAAGCAGGGGATATTCTAACGCAATGCAAAACATTCTCATGTTCCACGACAGAGGATCGCCTTGACTTACAGCTGTTCCTTTCACAAAGGTTACAAACAGCCTTGGAAAAAGGAACTGGTGACCTGTACTCGCACTTACGTCCAACACACCGCTACCCTCCGGCTTCATTTATTCAGGTTAGTGGGCTCCAAAACTCCAGAGAGCCAACACAACCCCCAGGTGGCTCTTGGGCAACACACCCACAAGTACGGAAAGGCTTGGACTCAGTTTTTAGTATAATACTCTCCTTCGAATCTACCGTATTTGTCAGACTATAAGACACACTTTTTGGTCTCCCAAAAGTGGGTGGAAAATGTCTGGGCGTCTTATGGAGCAAGTATTGCTGAAGCTCCGCCCACCCACTGCATGTCCTATTTTTGGCCTCGACGTACCCCATTTTCAGCTCTCTCTTTTTTGGCTCATTTTGGCCCCTTTTTTCAGCCCGTTTCCCCATGTTTTCGCCCCTGTTTTGAGCCCCGTTTTGGCCCCATTTTTGGACTGATTTCCTGGACCGCACAGAGGCCAAAAATAAAATAAAAAACATTTTTTTCTTGTTTCCCTCCTCTAAATATTGGTGCATCATATAGTCCGAAAAATACAGTACTTAACAACTCCTGTGAGCCTTACTCTGGAAGAACAGTAACTGCTCTATTTGTCTCAGGCTGCTTTAGGCTGTCTCAGCCTCTCAAAGCAAACCCCTTTGTGAGAGGGCACACCACAGGCTCTCAAAATTGCTCCTGCAGCCACCAGCCGTCACCCAAGCCTGCCCTGCATGAAAAGGAAATGGGACGGCGTTTCTGCTAAAAGCACGACTTGCATTTGTGTCAGGCGCAAGGAACCAGAATGACACTTGGGAGATGATCGTCATAGTTATTTCTTCATTGCTAACCTCTTTAACAACCGTCTCTCCAGACCGACTGCCTTCTCTTGGGAACGGTCAGATAAAGGCTCTGTGGATTTGGGGGGAGACAATCTGAAATCTTGCCAAGAAAAATTAAAAAATCAAACTCTCCTTGACTCGTTTTTGAAGTCTCTTTTAATAAGTGTCTGTGGAGGTTCTCAGTCATCCATCATGGTTGTCCCAAAGGTGCTTTTTTCAAGAGGCAACTGGACATTCATGTTTTTCTTTGAAGACACTTTGCTTCTCATCCAAGAAGCTTCTTTGGCTCTGACTGGAGGGTGGGGAATGGAAGGATTTATATTCCTTGCAGAGAGCTGGTCATTTGCATCCTTTTAGAGGGTCATTGAGGCCACGTGGAAGTTTATGTGTGTCCTCAGAGTCACCTGAGTGGTGCTCCTGGTTCCTGTAGTCTGCATTCCCTCCCCCACTCCCGAGAAATCCAGGGGAATATAAATCCTCCCATTCCCCACCATCCAGTGAGAGCTGAAGAAGCTTCTTGGATGAGAAATGAAACGTCTTCCAAGAACAACAAGAAAGTCCAGCTGCCTCTTGAAAAAGCACCTTTGGGTCTCTTTTATAGGTTTAAGACAACGATATTCATTTTGATCCGGGTTTTCCAGATCTCAAAACGATGTGTATGCTTGCTGACACGCCAATATCTCTCAATTAGGGAACCTCTACCCATCCAGAGGGGTTGGCAATAGACACATTCTGTGATGACCCAGGGTGGGATACAAAACAAACACAGCCACAGAAAACAGGTGAAGCCCCTTTTATTCCTTCACTTTGCTTCCAAGCCCTGAATATTCTTGACAGAAGACAAAAAACTCCCACACAAACAGTTACAAGAAGAAGGGAAAAAGCAACACAAACCAGGCAAGATAAGGGCTGGAGGACATCCATAGACACACACTGGGAAGGACGCCAAACTCAGAGAGGAACCATAAACTAGGGATATTTCCACACGTTGTTTCCAGCACTTGCCCGTACACATGTTCATCCTCTTACCCAGTTGTCATAGCTACAGCCCATGAAGAGGATCAAGGCCCTCTCCTCCCGAGGAGACCACTCTCTCCCTTATGCTCTCCTCCCTGCGTGCCCTAGGATGGAGAGGGGTTGGGCCTGGGTCCTCCTCTGACTGCCCCAGCTGGCCTCTGCCCTTCCCCAGCCTCCTCCACAACCTCCGGAGCCACACTTCCACTCCCTGTCGGCTGTTCCTCCTCTCCCTCAGAGTCAGCCTCCACCAGGGGCATGACACATTCAGTGAATCCCAACCTGTACATTTGTTTGCTTAAAAAGGCGCATGATGACTCAGAAAAAAAATTCACTCAGCAACTGATATCCTTCCCAGAACGCAACCATTATTGAAATACAGTAGCCTCCTACAGCATCTGTCCTCCAGATGTGTTGGACTAGACTTTGCAGACTTTCCTTGCTGACAGCCAATGACTCTGCTACCGGCGATGGGAGTCATGGGAGTCTGGAAGGCAGATTAGAGGGGGGAAAAACTCCATTATTAAAGCAAGAGAGAGATAAAATAACGAGAGGAGCTTCCATACCTTCTACCTGGGATGAAAACGTATGATTTATGGTAGGCACGGGCACATTGGAACACTCAAAATACGCCAGGTCTTCCTCGGGCTCACCTTTTACCTCCAACTCAGCTGGCTTTTGGCCAGTGGAAGCCAACTTCTCTTCGTCGGTAGCATGCCCGTCCTGATTGGGAAGATCTGGGATTTTGGAAATAAGTGCTGCCTCCTCTTCACCCTATATAAACAAGAGGGCAGTTAAGCTGAGAGTGTTCAATTCTGAACTAGGTACCCATCATAAGTTAATAAGAACCTAATAACACAGACCTGGGGTGTCAAACTCAAGGCCTGTGGGCCCATGGGGTGCTTAGATCTGGCCCAGGGGGCCGGTCTGGAAACAGCAAAGGACTGGCCCATGATGCCTCTGTTTGGGAAAATGGAGCTCTGTTTTCGCTGGCAAAGGGCTATCAAAACAAAGTAAAAGCAAAAGGAGAAATGTTCCCCCTTTTGCAGAGGGCTATAGCAAAACAAACTAAAAGCAAAACAAAAGCAGAAATGTTTTGCATTTGAGCATGCAAGAAGGGACAGGAAGGGAAAAAGGGAAAGAGGAAAAACAAAGAAAAAGATGGGAAGATGAGAGCAAGGAAAGAAAAAGAAGGAAAGAGGAAGAGGAAGAAGAAAGGAGAATGAAGAGGGAAGGGAAAAGAAGAAAAGGAAGGAAAGATGGGAAATACAGCAAGGAAGGAAAAAGAAGGGAAGAAGGAAAGAAAGAAGAAACAAAAGGAGAAATGTTTCCCCTTTTGCATTGGAGCAACCAAGAAGGGACAGGAGAGGAGAAAGAGAAAGAGGAAAGAAAAAGAAAAAGAAGGGAAGATTGGAAGAGAGCGAGGAAGGAAAAAGAAGAAAAGACGGAAAGGAAGAAGAAAGGAAAATGAAGTGGGAAGGAAAAAGAAGAAAAGGAAGGAAGGAAGGAAGATTATAATGAGAGGGAGGGAGAGTCGCAGGGAAGTCCTGCCTTAGCACCAGAGATGCCCCTGACACCAGTTCCATGTCACAGCCACCATGGCTACATCCCCAGCCATGCCCACCATGGCCACACCCCATGCCACGCCATGCCCCCACCCCCGGCCCTCCGAGGTCAAACACCCCGGCCCCCAATGAAATCGAGTTTGACACCCCTAACACAGACAGTCTACATCTCAGAAGCCCAGCCATCCTCAACTCCAGCACCTTCCAGCTGTGGGACTCCCAGAATTCTCTGCAACAGCCATACTGGCTGGAGAATCTATGGAATTGAAGTTTGCACATCTGGAAGTATCCCCGTTGGCTGCAGCAAAGATTGGAAGGAAGACTTAATGTCGTTTCCACCCACCTTTTTCTCCTGCTGCATATGCTATAACTTGGTTTACATGATATATGAAACCAGGCAAAGAAATCAGAAGCCAAGGTTGTTCCAATGTGTACAAGTTTAGTCAACAGAATGTCAAGGTGGGCTTGGACTTAAGATCGCTTGTGGGCACAAAGGGATGCGAGACTGATGATATATTTGACCCCCTCACTCAGATTCAGTCTGGTCATCTCCTGCAACAAGGCTGGTGAACAGAAATACACATATGCTTGGCCAACTTTTCAAACATAGGAGGGTTTTTAAAATGTTTTTAAGCTAGGTTTAACTAGCTGAAACTGCTTGGCTCAGTTACCCTTTTCCTGATTTCCAATAATGTCATTATTCCCAAAACACAAGATTTGGTTATTTCACACAGCCATCTCAGCAACAACAACCCCAAATTTGATCCTCAACTCAAAATAAGAAATTACAAATTGCTCCATTACCCCCAGGATATGCCCAAATTATCCCCTTGGTAATTACTCTCGGTTTAAGAACCACTATTCTAATTATTTGCTCTTTCAACATTTCTGTAAGTTGAGTTTTAATGCTCACTTTAATGAGTCACATTGTAGGGGAGATGGGCGGAATAAAAACTGAAGGAATGAATAAATGAATGAATGAATGAATCAATCAATCAATCAATGCCATTTGAACAATTTGCAACTTACTTTAATGGTTTTCAAACATCTAACCCAGCAAAGACATGTGGATAATATTGACTGCAACCAACAATCTAGCTACAGATAAAGATGTAGATATATCACACATATCTGAATCAGTGTGTTCACTCATTCAATTATACTGTTTTACAATACAGGTAGACCTTGAGTTATGACCATTCATTCAGCAACAGTTCAAAGTTGCAATGGTGCTGCAGGAAAGGACTTACAACAATGGGTCCATGGAGTTCAATAAGACTATCCAATAAGCAGTTTTAGGTAATAAAGGAAGAAGTTTGGGAAAATTGGTTGAAATTTTTCAACCCAGCCTCTCTGACTCGTCATATCAGCCACTGATGGATGCCCACAATCTCATCTTCAGGAACGCCTATGATGCCAGCCTTTGAGGCTGGCAAGTTCATTCCTGGCTGGTTCTGCCCACAACCAGCCACCATACATTGGTTCTTCGCCTCTGAGACAAGGACAGCCGTGTTGTAAAAGAGAGCAAGGGAACACCTTTACCTGAGAGCAAGCATCCAGGGCTAAGGAATGAGTTTCGTACTTTCTCGCCTTGCAGCCAGTCCTGTAAAAAAAAGAAAGGACGTACCAGTTAGAGTCAAGTTTTCTGGTTTTCCCATGGAAAGAGGAGAGCAAGCAAAGGAGAAGAGACACACACGGACAGCCAGAGGGGGAGGAACTGAAGCAAAAGAAAGAGCGAATCCTGAATTTGTGGACGTTCAGTGAGGAAGGAAAGTCACCAGCCATTCCCCCCCAAATATTTCCTGAATGGTCTTCTTGGTTTGAAATAACCAACACTAAAAGGCTTTTGAGTGAGCTCTATAAGGCAAAAGACACATTGCCAATACAGGACATCCAGACCTGTTCCCCCAACACAATACATGTGAGCGCAAGTGCTGAATAGCTGCATGCACGTTTCTCATTTTTGAAGGTAGGCTGAAAGTATATTCAGGACTGGCTGGATACCTGTGCTTCGCTACAAAACTATGTGGTTGGGCTTAGTTTTTGGGGAGGAAAATAAGGGGAAAAAATTCTGCCTCTGCTCTACCAGCATCCATCGGTATTCATCTGGCTAGCATCCTGTCAGTGTGTGAGAGAGTTGAGGGCTGTTTGGAAACTGAGAGTATTTGCTGTGTGAGCAAGAAGGAGACAGCAAGGAGCCAGGGCATGGCTTAGCTCAACTGTTCTGTACTAAAGCTGCTTGGTGCTGTGAAACTGAAACTCCTCTCGTCTGCTTGTGTTTTGCATTTGGAAGAGATTTCTTTTCAGGTGGGGAGGGGGAGTAGAACTCCTTAGCATCAGAGCATGTCAATAATAATAATAATAAACGAAATACTAATGCTCTGATGGTCAGTTCGAAAAACCCTTTCTTAGTGAGCACCTAGAAGCCAAGAGGAACATACGTGCAAAATTTCAAGTTTGTAGGCTTTACGGTTCTGGAGATTTTGTGATGATGCGTGAGTTCTTTTTCGCTTTCCTATATATAGATAAACGTGAACAGGGAACTGACTTAGGTGCAACCCTAAGCCAGATTCTTCCTTCATCCCCTCTTGAAAAGAAGACCCAAAGCACATGCTTCCTGTTTCAAACCAACCACCATGTACTTCAAACCAAGTCAACCGGTCCCTATTTTAAAATAAGGATTTCGGAAAGATCAAGCCATGATTTATACCACAGTGTTATTCATAAATGGTGGCTCAAGCTAAACAGAGTTTCCCTCATCTGGGACACAGCCCACCTAGGTTTGAAAGAAGAACGTTCTCCAGCCCCAACGGACAAATAGATGTTTAGCCAGAAGAGGGGGTCATTTTTGCTCACATTAGTGTATGTCAGAGGTCTCCAAACTTGGCAACTTAAGACTTGTGGACTTCAACTCCCAGAATTCTGCAGCCAGTTGGCTGGAGAATTCTGGGAGTTGAACTCCACAAGTCCTAAAATTGCCAAGTTTGGGGACCCCAGCCTGGTGCATGTATATACACATTAATATACATTAGTGTATATTAGTGTATACAACTGCACTATATATTTTCCTACTAAATGCCAGATAGGATGATGGATCCTACAGGAGAGGGAATCTAGAACGGGGGGGCAGTTAGCAACCTACAAGTATTCCTCGACTTACAACAGTTTATTTAATGACCAAAGTTGCAGCAGCATTGAAAAAAGTGACTCGTCACCGTTTTTCACACTTACGACCGGTGGTGGGATTCAAAAAGTTTTACCACCAGTTTTGGTGGGCATGGCTTGGTGGGTGTGCTATGTGCATGCGCGCACATGCCAAATGTGCACTTTGCACAGGCACAGAGGCGTTCCAACTCACTTCTTGCAAGCCTGCACTCTCCCGGTCGCTTCAGCAGCTACCGCGCGACACTATTCTGTGTCGTGCAAAGCGGCTGCGCATCAAAAGCAGAGGATAAAAGTGAGTATGGGTGGGCAGGTGGGCCCAACAGCAGAGCGGTGGAGAGAACCGGTTTGGTCGCCGCTACAGTCTCAGCCGAACCGGGCCGAGCCGGTAGAATACCACCACTGCTTATGACCGTTGCATCATCCCCAAGATCAAAATTCCGGCTCCTGGCCACTGATTCATATTTATGATGGTCACAGCATCCTGGGATTACGTGCTCCGCCTTTTTGCAACCTTCGGACAAGCAACGTCAATGGGTCGGCCAGATTCACTTAACCACCATGTTACTAACTGTAACAATTGCAGCGATTCCCCTTTACAACGGTGGCAAGAAAGGCTGTAATGTGGAGCTAAATACACTTAACGAATGTCTCACTTTGCAACAGAAATGTTGGGCTCCACTGTGGTTGTAAAAAGTCGAGGACCATCTGTGATAAGCTGATGGTTTGGAACTGGCTATATTCAGGGGTGGGCTGCTAGGGGTTCGGAAGAGCCCCTAGCTAAGGTTCTGGGCAGTTTGGAGAACCCCCAAATCTAACTCCTGGCTGGCCCCGCCCACCCAGCCCCTCCCCTCCCAGGGGTCTCCACACAGCTTGTTTTGGATGCAGGTAAGTGCAGGGCCCCCATGGAGGCTCAGGTAGGGTGAAAAACAGGCCTCCCGGAAGCTCGGGAAGGCCGGAAATGGGCCGTTTCTAACCTCCACAGAGCCTCCGGAGCCTGGGGAGGCTGTTTTCACCCTCCCGGAGGCTCGAGAAAAGCCTCCGGAGCCCGTGGTGCAGGAGGCCGATGAGGCCACGCCCACCATGGCCATGCCCACCCAGCAAACGGGCAGAGAACCCTTAGCTAAAATGTTTGAAGCCCCCCCCCCAGTTGTATTCCCTTACAACAGTCCTGTTGTCAATGGATTACCCCAGCAGCCATTTTGAGCCTGTGCCCCCTTCCTCCAAATTCACAATTTGCCAAAACTCCGGACTGGCCTAGTCAAATTATTCAATCTCTTTCATCGAAACAAAGACACGCACTAAGATTTGCAAGAATCAGTCTGCCTCCAACCCTACTTTCTTCCCCCCTGTCGTTGCAGATCAAAGACCAGCAAACTCTGACTAAATACAACAATTATTCCGGCTGCCATCCTTCATCTCCATCAAATTATTTGGCAGGGATGAAGGCAGTTAAAAGGAAAACCAAGCCTTTAGCTGCTGGCTAGCTTTCATCCCAATAGCCTGCGTTGGTTTGTGTTATGGTCATCTAAGGAATTTACCCTGTGCAGCTACAGAGTGCAAGCAGAATGACCTTGTAATCACAATTCCATTTGCAAAGGGGGGCCCCTAAGGATTAACCCCTTGTGTGATTTCTTGCAATCCAAGCATTACATCCAGACTAACTAATAAAGCCATCACACCCCTTGGAGCTGAATGGGAATTTGTTTGCAAGCCAATGTGCTCTCACGGAGAAGCAGCCAATTAAGACGAAGCAGTGAATAACCCACCACAGCAAGATGTGACCCTTTGGCCACACATTTCAAGGGTCTTTAACGAGAAACAAGCTCCCGGTTTCACAAAATGATGGTTAACTTAATTAATAAGCAGGGGGCAAAAGCTGGCATGGAACTGGGATTCTGCTTACACGGCAAATTCTAAACCCCAAAGAAAATAACCTGGAGTTTAGGATGATTTTACACACGCCGATATCCAGACACACCTCGCCAAAAGGAAAATTAAGGCAAATGTGTTTGCTTCTATTGCTACATTCTCAGAATACCTAAGACAGCCCACTTATTTTAAAAAAGAATGAGAGAGAGAGGGAGAGAAACAGAAAGAGAAACAGAGAGAGAAAGAGCGAGAAAGAAAGAAAGAAAGAAAGAAAGAAAGAAAGAAAGAAAGAAAGAAAGAAAGAAAGAAAGAAAGAGAAAAAAAGAGAGACAGAGAAACAGAGAGGGGGAAAACACACACACACACACACAGAGAGAGAGAGAGAGAGAGAGAGAGAGAAACAGAGGGGGAAACAAAGAAAAAAGTGAGAGATAGGGAGAAAGAGAGAGAGAGAGAGAGAGAGAGAGAGAGAGAGAGAGAGAAGTCTTTTAATTTAGCAATTCCTCCCCCACAAGCCCACAGCATTGTTCTCATTTCAGTTGTCACATTTTGCAAAGGCTGTTTAGTGTCACCAGCTCTGTATTTTCTGTTTCGAAACCAGCAGCAACCGTCTCCCTGCCCTGCCCTGATGCAATGAGATGCTAAAGTATAAGCAAGAGCCAGAAACGTCATTTTTGCCCCGGCTATCTGCTCTCTGTTTCTCACAACACAAGTACGTTAAGCCAACCAGCTCAATTTATTTATTTAAAACATTTCTATAGTTGCCCAACTTTCAACCAGCTCTGAGCAAGCTCCCAATCAAACAGAGAACCCCCTCACTGAATTTCCTCATTCTGTTCATTATCTGTCAGTTCCTGGGAGAAAAGCCAGAGCAGAAACAAGGTAGAGCAGTGACTTTTTATTGTGGGGTAGAATAACAAAATCTTGGAAGAAAGTTTTTATTCCCTTCATCCTATACCAAACAAAATCAAGGCAGGGTTATTTTGAATTTCTCTCTCTCACCCTTTTCTTCTTCCCAGGACTGAACAAAAGACAGTCCTCCACTGACGAACATTCCTTTAGTGACCGTTCCAAGTTATGACACTGCTGACAAAAGTGGCTTACAACCGGCCCCTTGCATTTACAACTGCTGTGGTGCCCCCCCACAGGCATGGGATCGCAATACGGGCTCTTGGGACAAGAATGGACTGAATCTGCACTCCCCCAATGCCAAGGTCCCCAATCTCCTAATCTTGTGTGGCACCTGGGAGGTCATCCAGATCTTTGTTTTATCTAAAGACGTGTTGACAGACCTGAAAATTCTTGAGAATCAGCTAAATGGAACTTCAGACCAAGCTTGTGCTAGTTACATGAACACATCTATGCAGGTTTTTTTCCGCAGCAATACAGGAATTGTTTGCTATTGCCTTCTTTGGAATAAATATGTCTAGGCCAGAAGCCCTGGTCTTTCTAGGCTGCCCTATCCAATAATAAACCAAGTCTGTTCCTGTTTAGTTTAAGTTGGAAGGGACCTTATAGGTCATCCAGACCAACCCCCCACCCAAGAAGAAGGACCCTACACCATTTCTG